GGTTTTTTTTATTTTTTTATCTTTTGTTTTTAATAAAAATTCAAGAGACAAACAAACAAACAAACGAACGAACAACCAAACAAACAAAAAGAAAAAAAAAGAAAACATAGGTAAATAAAAGTGTGGTAATTAACCACCACCGGAGGGTAATAGAAGGGAAAGTAAAAAAAAAAAAAAAATAGGTGATAGAAAATTCGGGGGGGGAGCCCAGAGACGATGAGAGGTTTGAACCCCACGTCTCTCCCTCCCTCCCTCATCTACATTTTTTTTTTTATTAATGCACATTTAAAAAAAATTTATCATTAGTCATTTTCTGATTACGTGAAAATTTTTTTACGACGATAGAGTAAATCTTAATTACGTGTTACAAACGGTAATTTTTTCGTTAAATAATAATAATAATAATAATAATAATAATTATTATTATTATTATTATTATTATTATTATTATTATTTATTAAAATTTTATTATAATAATTATTATTATTATTATTATTATTATTATTATTTATTTTACAATAAAATTTTTTTTTTTTTAAATTCGTGGATCCATAAGGAAAGGAAAAATCTTTAAAAAAAAAAAATGATCATTTTAATGAATGGTAAAAATAAAAATTTTTTTTTTTTTAACTACTTCCGCTTTTTTTTCTAAAAACTGGTACAAATACTTTGTCGAAAGATTTTTTCTTTTTTTTTTTTGGAAATATTTGTTACGTTAAAAAAAATACTCGTCGACGATAAGGCCCCCCCTCCCCATTAATTTAAAATTTCTTTTTATTTTTGTTTGTTTTACGGTTTTGAATGACCCGGACGTTTTTTTTTTTATTTTCTTCCTGTGCTAAACGTATCTGTCGGTACTTGACGTAATCTAATGACACTATTTACAGTACTATTATCATTATTATTATTATTATTACGGAGACATTTCCTCGACGTACTCGTCGAAAAAAAATCTTTTTAATTGAATATTTTTATTCGATTCCTTTGAATGAAATGGAAATGTAAACTTTTTCATCCGACGCGGTGTTATTTCTCTTTATTATCATTATTATTATCATTATTATTATAATCACGATAATTTTATGCAATTAAGTTTAGGAGGTATTTTTTAATATTTTTTAAATATTTTTTTTTTAAATCGTGCAATAATGATGATAATGATGATTGTGTTTCGATCATGTTGAAACTTTTGCTTTTTTTTTTTTTTTATAAAAAACGCCCAAATCGAGTTTATTGTTATTAATATTATTATTATTACTATTATTTCGTCACTTTGCGCCGTGATTTCTATTTATTTTAAAAAAAAAAAAAGTTGCAGAAAATTTAAAAAAAAACCCAAATGTCTTCAGATTTCAACGGTTTTCTCTCGAGATTTTCACGCGCGCGATACGCAAAATGGAGGCCGAAGAAAAATGACGCCATATTTTTTTTTTTTGACGCACGTCTTATTTACGCGTCATAATAATATTTATAAAATATTTCTCCTTAGCAGACGTATGAGATAATTCATACTATTATTATTATCATTACCTTAGCGATATGTCGTGGCTTAAAAAAAAAATTTTTTTTTTTTCTTTTTGCACTTTGACGTCATTTTTCTACCGACGCCGCTTTTAGCAATCCGGTAGCAATAATAAATATGTATAAATAAAAAAAAAACAATTCAACTTTTTCTCTCTCGATTAATAATTCCTCTCATTCATTTCATTTCATTTTTAATAACGTTATTATTATTATTTTAGTGAATGTAAAAGTGCGTGTTGAAAGGAGGAGGAGGAGGAGGAGGAAGAACAAAAGTCTGACACGAAATAATAACCGGAAATAAAAATTTAATAAAAGTCAAAAAAGTATTTACCTTTTTTCATTTAAAAATCTAATTATTAATAAAATATATATTAAAACTACTCGCGTTTTAAATTATTATTATTATTAATAATCAGGAAGTAATTTAATCGATTTCAGCAGTAATAAATAATGTCGTGTAATTTCATTGGGTAGCGCGCTTAATCCAATCGTGACTCGCATAAAGTCGAGAAGCACCCGAAAACCGAGAAAATTCTAACCAGAAATCTCAAAAAAAGGTGACCCACCCTGAACGAACGATGGATTTTGATAACCGTTTATTATTATTATTATATATGTGAAAGATAATATATATGATATACTGAGTCAAAATATAAAAAAAAAAAATTTTTTTTCAAGGCTACTAACTCGAGGCATTTTTTTTTTTTTTATACGTGAACTTAACCGGTCGAAATTACATTACTTTGCGTTTGTTGTTGTTATGTAGTAATAGTAGTAGCAGCCTCGTTTCGATGATGATGATGATGATGATGATGATTGTGACGATGACATCGACGAATTAAACGGTCACAACGGTTTTTTTTTCGAACGTAAACGAGACAGATCCGTCAAAAAAAAAAAAAAATGGCGACGAATATTTGTTTAAATTTATTTTTTTTCCGTCAAAACGACGAACTTTGTTGTGTTGTCTCCCCTGTTTTTGCAAATTTTTTTTTTTTTTTAATAATGTTTTATTTATATCCGGTGCGTGATAATTTAAATCGTGTTAAATTTTGTTTTTTGTTTTTTTTTTCTCCTAAATCACGATTTCCGGTAAATAAATCAATTTATAATTATAACTCTTATAGAAAAAGTATAAACTATCCGATCGATTTTTTTTTTTCAACTTCCTTCCTTCCTTCCTCCCCATCGCTTATTAAATAAAATTAATTTTATAGATCAAAATTAAATAAAACAAACTATATTTACGCTATATCTTTATAGTATACAAAAAAAATTTAACGGACTTATAATAATTTAAAAAAAAAAAAAAATGAATGCATAATAAAATTCAATACGAATAAATATTTAGAAAAAAATTCGTGTCACACCGACAAACCTCCGACTTTTCTTATCATCATCATCATCATCATCATCATTATTATTATTATTATTAAGAGTAATAAAACGTCATTTAAATTTTTTTATAATAAAAAAAACTGTCACAACATATTAAATACGAGGTTTAAAAATTATGTTCGAAATTTTTTTTTTTTTTAAATCGTGCTCTTGTTCTTTTTTTTTTTTTTTGTTAATACGATTATAATAAATTATTATTATTATTATTTTGTAGGGGAGGTAGGGGGAGGGGGGGAAACCGGAAGGGGTGTCGGTTTTTTATTTTAAACACGACCCCGTTATATATATAAAGTCCACTTCCTATTTTCACAAATGACAATCACTTGTTTTTACCAAAAAAAAAAAATTAAATAAAAATAAAATTTTTTTTTTTTCCCTTTTGTAAACAAACGCACGTGCACTTTCACGCGCACTCACGCACACTCTCAATATTCACGTATTGCGGTAAATAATTATTTTTTTTTTTAAATTTAATTTTAGAAAGTGGTAACGTAAACTTTTTTTTTTAAAAAAAAAAAAAAAAATTAAAAACAATAACGGTAACGGTAGCCGAAATAACGGGTAAAAATATGAAGAAATATTAATATTAGTTTTTTTCGTTAACGAAACTTAATAGTAATATTTAAAATTTACAAAAAAAAAAAAAAAAAAGAAACAATTCCTTGACCCAAAAAAAAAAAAAAAAAAATTTTAATATTTTAAAAGGACAAAAAAAAAACAAAAAAAAAATTCATATTCTAATTTTAATTTTTTTTTTCTCTCTCTCTCTCTCTCTTATTGTTTTTTCTTACTTGACCGTACTAAAAATACAAACGCTACTACTACCACTACTACTACAAACAATAATAAATTTCTACTTGATAAATAAATATTAATAATTATTATTATCATTATTTCGTTTGCTCAAAGATTCATCTGCCATTCATCGTAATTCAAAATTTTTTCAACCTTCGAAATTTTTTCGCGCCAAACTTTATAATCAAAAAAATAATTTTTTTTTTAAAAATTCATTCATAGGAAATCGAGCTGAGCGTTCCTTTGAAAAAAAAAAAAAATTTTTTCCTTTGAATTTACCATTGAAAAATAACTTTTTAAATAACGTTAATTAATTTTTTAAAATGCGTGTAAATCTCTTGTGCGACGAGTTACAGAAATTTTTTTTTTTTTTTTTTTACGTTCACGTACGTACACGGCAATTATTATTAACAAATAATAATTTACATCGTTTAAAATATTACGTAATAAAAAAATTGTTTAAACAAATAAAAACAGAAAGAGTTAACAAAAAAAAAATTTATAAATAATTTTTTTTTCGTCGGAAAAATTTTTATCCCCGTCACGATTTAATTTAACCACAAATTTTATTATCGTTGATAATTTTAATAATAATAATAATTTATCACGTCAATAATTATTTATTTATTTATTTATTACTTTAAAAATTATCGATGACGAATAATAATAATAATAATAAATAATAATCAAGTGTAAAAATCTCTCACGCCTTCCGTCAAAATTATGTTAATTTTTATATAAATTTTTTCCTTGATTTATTTTCGAAATATTCATTATTATTATTGCTGATTATGTACAACAAACACCACGTTATGTCAAAAATAAAAATTTCTTCCTTGGGGGGATGCGAGGGGTGAGGAAGGGAGGGAGAATGTAAAATAAAAAGATTTGATAATTTATTTCGCGACGAACCAAAAAAAAGTTTACGAAAATTATTAATCGTCATTTTATTTATTTATGTATATGAAGTGCGAAACCTTATGAGGTGGGAGAAACCTATTAAAAATCAATAATATGTTAAAAACGTCCATCAAAAAAGAGGGAAAAAAAAGGTCGCGTCGCGTATGTTACGTAAATTAAAATTTAGGGCATAAAATGTTATGTATGAAAAGGGGCCCTCGAGGGCTTTTCATTCATGACGACTCGAATCTCATACAAAAATTTTAATTTTAATTTTAATTGAGGCCCTGTCAAAATTTCAAATCAATTCAATTTTTTTTTTTTTTTATTTTTTTTTTTTACAGATATTATTTCTATCAGTATTTCACAGAGTTGTTTCCATAATGGTACCCACGGGTAAAGTAGGACCGATAACTCCGAAAAAAGTAATTCCAGAAGTTTTACCATCGAAACCTTATCGGGAACCGGCACAGGTTTGGGAAAGAGTCGACGAAGGACCCAATCCGTACAAACCACCCGTTTATAAATACACTCTATTAGATTTTGCAAGGAAATATGGTAGGAAAACTTTAATTCCGCCACCGGAAGACGAATATTATAAAGTGAGTAACAAAATAATATTTTAAATAAACAAACAAACGTTTGCTTTTTTTTTATTATCTGACAATAGCCTTATACAAAATCGAATTTTTATTATAAAATTTTACGAAAAAAACTTTTTCCACTGGTATAAAAAATATCTATCGTTACGTCGTAATCATACGTACCCAAAAAAAAAAGAACAAGATTCAAAAAAACGAAAGAAGAATCTTCTCGTCGGAAGAATCTTACCGGAAGTGAAAGTATTACGTTAGGATTTTTTTTTTAAAGTCAATTAATATATAATAATGAATTTGAGTTGATGTTAAGGTTAATTAAAGGCATTTTTATAATAGTAGGAAAACATTTTTTTTTTTACCTCAAAGGTTGATGATGATGAAAGGGGGGACACATTAAATAATAATAATAATAAAACATTTCACTCGACAATCGATTTATCGATCGATCGATCGATTTTTATTTTTCTTACGGAAATGAAAATCCATTAAAATAAATTTCATTGTTTGATATTTTTCATTTTAATTCATTTACGTAATAATAATAATAATAATAAATGATTCACGGGGGGAGAGTTTTTTTTTTTTTAATTACTAATAACATTTTAAATAATAAAATTATTTATTTATTTATTTTTTAATAACAAACAACGGGATTGTAAATAATAAAAAAAAGAAAGAAAGAAAGAAAAGAAATAAAAGTTTAAAAGTTATGCAATATTTTTATATGCCAAAAACTTTTTATTTTATTTTTTTGTTTGTAAGGCAAAACTTTCTCTTCACGTTGTTTGTTTGTTTGTTTATTTGTTATCGTTAAAATACATTTTTTTTTTCAAAAGGTGAATATTAAAATTTTTTATTTGTTTTTTTTTTTTTTTTATATGTTATATATTATTTATTTTTTCTTTTCCAGGCACCACCAAGAGTGATTTATTATCACCGTAAGGAACAACCCATCTATCATCAAAAAACAAAATTTTATTATTTTCCATTACAATTTTTGTGAGAAGATCTATCTATTTTTTTTTTTTTTTTTTTTTTTTTTTTCAAGAGATGCCATATATGAAGAAAAAAAAAAATTTCAAGTAAATGTGTACGTGTGTGTGTGTGTGCGTGTGTATATATTTATACATATATATATCACGAATTTATTATTAATAATTGTTTTATGTATATATATAGATGTATATACGTATAAAACGAGAGAGAAGTGTGATATACGTCTTAGACATCCTTTTTTTTTTTATAATTTTTATTATTATTATTAATAAATTAAAATTTTGTTTTTGTTTTTTTTTATCGATTGAGAGACAAAGTAGAAAAATGTTAGATGAATAAAAATTTAGTTATT